CACGAAGAATTGAGGCAGTTCTGAAGGCAAAAGGGGGTCCAACCCGTTACTAGCGTGGTGTACCTAATAAAGTGGCCGGTGAGTGTATGTATGTAATACTAAGCCTTGGAGATAAACAATAACAATATATACTGCGATAAACATATGTTTAATATAAATATGTCAGATAGAATGTTGATTATTTCACTGAACTCCAAACCAGAACTGCACTGCATTCTGGGGGATGCAGGCAGAGGAAAGACTTAAGCCTCTCCACCTCTCACGGCCCAGCTAAGCGAGGCTGGTGGCATCAGCTAACTCACTCTAAGCTAGCAACAAGCTGCTGAGTCACATGAGCAGCAGCAGCTTCACGTTCCARCACCATGCCTCAGAACTGCTTAAAAATAAAAGAAGAACGATGTGGAGTGAAAGGAGAAAATGAGTCCAACAGCTCGAGAGGAAATTGTGGATAAAAGAGGAAAAGTCACCAGTTTGGCGGGATTAATCAGCCTTTTATCTCCTGGTCCTTATTTCAAATAGCTGAAACAAAAAACTAACCAATAATTATCGGACACATTTTCAGCCGTGTTGCCCAGCAGCCCTATGTTCTACCTTGTTGAGGTTCCCAAAGCCCATCCTCTGTATGGCCGACGTCTTCCACTCAGGCAGGGGCGGGACGAACTGGACGGCAGGCGGTTGCTGCTTCAACACGCCGAGGGGCAGCGTGCACAGCACGGCGTCGCACTTGTAAATGAAGGTCTGGGTCGTGGAGCGAGTYTTCACTGCGATCACCTCACAGCCTGGAGTGAAAACACACATTAACCCTCAAAGGGGCAATACCATGTAAAATCAACTTTTTTGAGTTTTATATCATGTTATAATGTTATACTCTCATTAAAAAAACATGCCCAAAGCCTTGCTTTGACTCATTCATGTATGATTGAGAAATCCTGCAGTGTTTTTAGGAAGCCATGCWGAGGAGCAAAACGACAGGTGGGGACCAGAAACGCCACTGGGACGTGTCTTTAAGCCGAGCTTCCTCATGACCTCATGCCCTTTAAAATCACCACGGCGCGTTTGTGTGACGTCCAATTCTTTGATCGTGAGAAACGTACCGGATGCCGTGTACCGGACCTGTCGCACTGCCGTGTTCAGTTTGATGTCCAAACCCTCAGCGAGAGCCACGGGGACGCACGAGTAACCGTTCCGCACGGTGAGGTGGCTGCCGGTGAACTCAAAGTCATCGTCCTGTGGAAACATGAATAACCACAGCGATACATTTAAACCACTTAAAGACTATGGACCTTTCAGCAAGGCTATAATCACTATAATTATATAGATATGCATTTTTGTTGCTGTGTTTTTGTTATCTTTGTTTCTGTAGGTGTTCAGCCAAGATGTCGGGGGAGTTTTCTTGATATATATTTCACATATCTTCTAATCTCTTTTTCACTCTTTCCCATTACATTTCACTTTTTTCTTCTCTTTCTTTGTCTTCTTTTAAAAAAATGAAAAGTCACTGATGATGAAGAAACTAAGAAACTAATATTCAGTTCTGCTTTCTACTGATATGGCTAAAAAAAATCACTGTAGGGCAATTCAAAGTTGTTTCCAGTGAACACACCACAGTCCTGACAGCAGTCCTACTTTGCTCAGTCCYGATATTTCAAACTCAGGACGTGTTTCTACCTGATCCCAGTGCTTGAGAGACAGGGTGGAGAGGGGCGTGGCGTTGGCAAACTCCAGGTTGGCGAAGTGCCAGTCTAGAATCTGCCGATCCCTGGATGAAAGGTAAACATCGCTGTGGAAGAGAAGGAACGACACGTGAGAGGCGCCGGCAGCTTTTTTTAAGCAGCGAGGAGACAAATTCCCACAAGTTCGCACAGCTCTAAACGCTGCCGTGCTTATTCACATGTCGGGAACTAAAAGTATATCACCTCAGGMCATAATAAGGGAAAACATTTGTTGCTAAGCAATTATCTTTTTAAACCATTTAGCAAACTGGTTTCACTGCTCCCGCYCGAGCTGATTAGATTTTTATTTTTAATTTCATCTTCTGGAGATGAGCGCCACAAGATTATTTAATCAGATTACACAAGTCGGAATGTTTTAAATGACCTGCGATCAATATAAACTTAGCAGGAAAAGTAAGTAAGTTTGTGTTTGGCAGATTATTTCTTTTTTGTATTAATGTGTTTTGGCAATAAATCTTATGACATTGGAAATGCTGTTAATTTCTCTTTTAAATGGCACCACATTTATAAGGAATATGCATTTGTGGGATGAGAAACAGAGCAATCTCTGCCAAACAGCTTCTATTGCTGTTGACTCTTGGTGTTTGGTGGACGGGATGATTGAAGTTCGAAAAAAAAAAGACATACTGGTAATTTAACAATTAAGTTTTTTAGGGATGCACGATATATCGGCATTGGCATCGGTATCGGCAGATACTGGTCATTTTTTACAATATCGGTATCGGTCCGATTTGTAAAACGGGGCCGATATTAATGTCCAATATTGATTTTCCATTTTTTAGCTTTGTGATTTTGTTTTGGTAGGCAAAATGTTTGGTCGAGTGGTATCTGATCGTGATAGTGATACTGACGCTGCACAGCCAGGAATAACTGAAGTAGAGCCATGTCAGAGCCAGGTCTGGTCATTTATTTATGGTATCAAAAAAAGACCCAAGTGTGTGCGTGCGTATATGTATATAAATAATTTGTGCGTTGATCGGTAAATATCGGTTATCGGCCATAACACCAATAATAATATCAYATATCGATATCGGCTGAAATTTTCATATCGGTGCATCCCTAATTTTTTTTAACAAAGAAAAGCCTCAGTAGCATGTGGAAGAACCATACACAGCCACAACAGGCCGTCGGCCATATTGTCCTGCAAATCTGTAGAYGACAGCCTGACAAGCTGAGGAAACCATCTTGGGGTGTCGTCTTCTCAGGACGCCCACTTCGTGGAACCGTCTCTGATATCAACAGTAATATGAAACTTGGCCTTCAGTTTGGAGATGGTACAAGGCCTCACTACAAATAATTTGCAACTTGAACACCAGCTTGAAGTTTCCCTATCCAGATCAGTCAAACGTGGCATTTTTTGGAGCAGACACCTACTGTAGCAGGGTCCATGCTCACAGGCAGTGGTGGGCAGCACCAATCTAAAAATTAGTTCCACTAGCCCTAAAACACTCACTCAGATATTTAGGTCCCCTAATTGTAAAGCACTAATCACTGAAAATTTTAGCAAAAGCTAATTTTAAAGTGCTAAAATAACCCAGTCAACCCATGAACATTCTTCAACAGACAACGAGTCACATGTTGTCATGATGCTCTCTTAAGATCATTAACATCCACAGCTGTATTTGGGTTCATATATTGTCATCTAGTGCAGTGTTTCCCAAAGGTGGGGTCAGGACCCAAAGTGGGGTCCTGAAACATCAAGGTGGGGTCCTGAAAAGATTTTCTGAATTAATTACATTTTTGCCTWAGTTGTTACAAGGGAGTGATGTTAGTGTATTTAAAATGGATAAATGTAGTATAAAATTATTGTTACTATGCCTATGTTTAGTTGACCTGATACAAATGTTTATCATCCAAAAATAGTTGGGGGAACAGGTCTCTGCTACTGTTATTTTGTGGGTCAAAAGCTGAAAAGTTTGGGAACCACTGCACTTTGGTTCCCAAAGTTGGGCTTGGAACCCAATTATGGGTCATAAAGCACCTTGGATAATCTCCAGAAATCAATTTAAAGAGTAATAAAATAATTACTGATGTAATATTTTCCCTGTAATTATTACAAAAACACAGAATAAGTATAAARAAGTATTTATATTTGTGTACAAACTGTTTAGATTGTCAAAAAGCCTGTGRTTTTAGGGTTATTAACACAGTTCGTGTACTAAGACCAATAATATTTGGGGTCACAAGTTTTTTGCCATGGATATTTTGTGGGTCAGAAGATAAAAAGTTTGGGAACCACTGATCTAGTGGATAAGTGACACATATGAACAAAATGTGTGACAGCTTTCACCTTCAGCTGTTTACATTAATAATGATCAGTAACATTTATAGACCTCAGTTAGTGCTTCTAAATTTAGCAAGTGCTAATCCACTAATAAATTTTAAAATCATGAAAAGCCCTAAAGCACTAATCAGGAAATTAGTTCCCCTATTAGTGCTTTAGTGCTTTAGGGGGACTGTGCCCACCACTGCTCCCAGGTGCTAGCAATCAGACACCTGGAGGTACCAGAAGCTCAAAACAAGCTAAAATAAGCTGTTCGGCTGAGAGAATTTGGCAAAATTTTCATGCGCGCAACTCACATCCTCGGCTCTACCGCTCATCCCACAAATGCAGGTTCCTTACAAATGTGACACCATTTAAAAGGAAAATTAACAGGCTTTCCAACTTTATCAGATTTATTGCCAAGAAGCATTGTTACAACAYAGAAATAAGCTACCAAACACAAATTTCCTTACTCTTTATGCTAAGTTCAATAAAATGTTTGCATTTTTATAAAAAAAAAAAAGTGACACACAGATTCATCTATAAGCATCTAGGTGAAGACTGAGCTGCAGTGATATGATCATAAAAAGCTATAGAGGTGTGTTTTACCTGGGTGGGTTGGCCTCCAGCTCCTGCAGCTTCTCCTCAAGTTTCACCTGCAGCTCTGCCAACTCGTCGTACTCCTGCAGGAGGACAGAGCAAACAGGAAGAGGTCAAGGGCTGTGAGATGTTAGGGAATCGACGGACACAGACAACACACCCCCGAGTTTTAGGCCATGTGAGGACAAACAGACCTGACTAAACCTGTTCAGCTCATCACAGCAGAATGAACTCCCAACAACTCAAAGTCAAGGACAACTTCCTTTCCCCCTGAGGAAATACTAAAAGTGGCATGAAATGCATAAAATATCCTAACACAAACATACAGACTGACACAACCCACCCTTGCTCACTGGGTTTAAAAAGCCTGTCATGTGGAAACACAGACTGTGAAATGCTCTGTCTGTCTTGGTCAGAAGGTGTGTACACATCTGCGGACATAAAACCCAGCAGAGCGTGAGCTGAAGCCTTGAAGTGGGTTCTCAGACGGGGAGCATGGATCGCAGACGATCCCAGCTCAGATACCAGCTGTGTTTAAAGCAACTAAAACATCCGTCTGAAGCACACAGAGAGCAGCAGTGGAGGTGATTTCTCCACGCCAAAAATAAAACACTACCACTCGCTAATAATACATTCAAGCAGGACATTAAACCACCTAAACACAGCCTGTCTGGTCTGCTTAGACAGCACGGCATTAACGTCCTCTCAGGCGTAAACCCCGATCAGGTCGTTCAGAAAATATTCCCTCTAATTTGCGATGCCTTCTTCTAACATGGCAATCAAGTCAGAAACTTTCTGGCTGCCAAATGTAGCCCTTCAGATCAAAGTTTCTCTCCTGGAAATTGTGGTGAGGGACGTGTGTGGAGGAATCTACTAATCAACTACAGGAAGTCTTAGTTTAAACTACAGCTAATGAAAACAGATAATATAAACACAGCTTCACACTCATCTTGGATGTTTTGATTGGAAGACTTGGAATTCCCGGTTTTGGTGTGTTTTTAAATAAAAAAAATAACTAAATATAGTTGTTTTTTTTTTACTCACCTTGCAGAGAGCGGTGAGGTCGCGGTGCTTGCTCTTCACCAGGAACTCTGCCGTGATGTCTCTGGGTGGTTTGACTTCYCTTGCTTCTTTGAACTGCTGATGGAGCTCCTTCACACGCTCCCTGGTGGACACCAACTGAAAGGAGGAGGGAGGAAATTTTAAAAAGGTTAACAGCAAAGTGGTGGATATTTGAYGCTGCAGACAACCAAACTTGGCCCGTCACCTTGTTGAGAAGGTCCCTGAGTTCCTCCTGAGTCTTTACAATCTTTTTCCAGTGTTCTATCTGCTCGTCTTTGACATGTTTCTCTTGCAACCTGCACACAGATGCGTCACAGTTTACTTTTATTTTTCTATCTGTACGCATTTGTCCAATCCCACAATGTCCCCTGTACTTACTGGATGACCACCTCCAGAGCTTGTCCCAAAGAAACGGGTTTGTTGTTGAGAAAGTTGAAGTCGAGCTGGTGACTGAGGTAAGAGGTAGCCTCCAGCAGTCGGTTGAACTCTTGCTCCACCATCTCATCTTTCTCTTTTGGCACCTAAGCACACAAGTTTAAAGGATAATGTGACATTAGTCAAAAGAGGAGGAAAAAAGCACCAACATACAATAGAAAGAATCATTTGTACAGATTTGAAGTTAAACCAGGGTTGCAAAATTTTAGGATTAATAAAGATGGGATTAAATAATGGGAATAAACTTGAAATTTAAAAAACTGAATGTTGATCCTTAACAGGAATTTTAAAGTGCCTGTGACACGCATATCCACGAAATACAAAAAGTCAAAGAAAATATATTTATACTGAAGAAACTTGGCATAATACGCAAGATTTTACCCTTTATGTCACATAATTGGCWTTATTTCTTTTGAATTTGACTCAGCTAAAATGAAACAGGAAGTGACATCAAAGGGGAACTCTGAGAAAGAAAACTTCCTGGTTTTTGTTTATTTAAACAATATTATTTGAACTATGACTCTTTCTCATCTTTTTATGATAGTGATTAAAATAATCTAAAGAAACGTCAGATTCTTCTCTTCAGTCGATAGCCATTTTAGCAATGCTCTGTTCACATTCAGACCCTTTGACATCACTTCCTGTTACTTCACATGCAAATATCTCAACAACTGCTCATCTCAGAGGCATGAAATCTTTTTTACAATATGCTATCAATGTTATCTTCCCAAAAATACATTCATATTTATTACAAAAAATTGATGTTTAAGGCACTTTAAATAGGCTGCAGAGACCACCACGGGAAGCAAATCTGCAGGAGATATTTGCTGTTTGTTTTACGCCAAACACCCTTCCTGATGCAACTTGTGCTTAAACTTTGATGACATGTTTAGATTAATATGGCTGATAAATTAACACAGAAATGAGATGAGGTCATCATCTGAATAAACAGGATGCAATGTTGTTTCCATTCATCACCACTAGATGGCTGCGGTTACTCAAAGCCAACAGCTCGGTGTGGACCTCCCCCAAACACCATTAAAGACACCGCAGCATGTTTGTATCTTAAGTATGATCTTTTACCTTTTAAATGCATTTATTTTGTTGCATTGAAACGTACATTTTAAATTTACAAATGATTTGATATCTATTTTTATATTAAATTAGGCAACAACAAAATAAAAAACACTTTTTTTTCTAAAAAAATAAATAAAAACAATTTCATGTGTGTGAGTCATTAGTGGACACAGATGGAAGGCACCCATGGGCTGGATGTGGCCCGCGGGCTGCCACTTGAATAGCCCTGGTGTTGTGTGTGTGTATAATAAAACAATAAATAATGGATTACCAAAGAACTATATCAGAGTCAATTTATTGGGAATATGTTTTGGATCGATTGAGAGGTTTCCAATATTCTCAAGCTAAAGTTTCCAGGAATGCACCTCTTTGCAACCCTGACTTCAAATAAAACTTAAGAGAAATAAAATAATGGAAATAAATAATAAATACACTTGAAGAACTTTTCATACAACACAAGGTCTGTATTTGTATTTAATGTGTTCAGAATAAACCAAAACTTACTTCTAAGCATTAATATTCTCAGTATGTCTGGCTGAACATGCAGTGACTTCAGTTTGTTAGTAGAAATTGTTACAAACACATCATCAGCAGAGAAGAAGTTTTACAGGCAACACTTGCTTTAGGAGCCAATCGGTGATGCTGTGGAGCCCGACCTCCATCAGAACATCAYCTTGGATCATGTTGCACCGATTCAGCAGAAAACATCTTTTACTGAAAAACTTGCCTCTGCTGAAATCTACTCGTACTGATGATTTGTGCAATACTCCTTGAGATACTTYCTCTTAAAAATAATGTTATTGTACTGTAAATATTCAAATACTTATATCCCCCTTACATAAAAAAGAAACATAACCTTTTATTTAGTTTTGTTGTTATGAAAGATGAGGGTTCCTACATGAATAAGAAAACTACATAAAGTGAAATCAAATGGAGCTAAAATGTTTCAAAGATTCAAAAAAAGAAATATATTATATAAATAAAACGTATACATACACTTGTGCACCGTTCACCCTTTAGCAGTTCACCAAAATATGAACATGGACAGGATTAAAAAAGACAAGAGGGAAGGGGGGGGAGAGAAAAAGAACATGTTGAGTAAACACAACGTTAACCTCAAACAGGTTTGCACAAAAGTAAAACACGAACATTTAATTTGCCTTTTTTCCCCCTTAGAAGAGGAAACCACATGATATGGATGCTTTAAAAGCTTTGAAGTCTAGTTTCTGCTTTAATGCACTGAAAAGGAAGTCAAATCTCTTTTTACAGGACAAAACAACACAAGGCATAACTTAACATGAAGTTGTGTTTGTTCTGCTCAGTCCTGAGAGGAAGTGAAGCTGTTTTTTATCACATACAAAGAGTTGGAAAAAGGCTCAAAATTCTTGGGTGGTTGTTGTTGGTTTTTTGTTTTTTTTTTATAATGGAAAACCAAATTCTTGCCTAAGGATGATGAGATGTTTAAAGAAACAGGTATGGAAACAAAAACAGAGCATTCCAATGCAGAAAGTGAACATTCGTGCAGAAATAACCATCAACTAGCAAAGGAATTAAACATTAGAGAGATCTGGCTTCAGATATAATACTGGAAACAAATCTGCATCATTTTTAGCAACACAAAGCTTTCTTGTACTTTTTTTTTTTTTTTTACAAATAATGCAACCATTCACAAGTATGAGAAAAGTGTGTGAACAAATAAAAAACATTCAAACTAAGTTAACTATGAATTTAGAAACTCTGATCAAATCCAAAGAAATAAAGAGGTGCCAGCATCATTAAACTTTGTGGTCTTGGGAATCAGAGAATCCGGTTTGAATCTAGTATTAAACAGTTTGTTTTGAAACAATAAATTTTGTTCACATACTTTTTTTGCTTGCAGCAGAGAGGATGCTAAATGAGTGTGTTATTTTAAGAGTCAGTACGACTGCAGCTCAGCTCAGCAGAGTCACGCCCACAACCTGTCTTTGATTCTTAACTCAAACAATAAGAGCTGGTCTTGATTTCTCTCAAGTTACTGTTGGGGTTTCTGATATTCTACTCACAGCCTGGCCATTGGCCTCATACAGCGGACACTTCTGTTTGATCTTAGCCAGCTCCATGTTGACCTGCTTACTGACCACAGCCATGGGATTCCCTCCTGAATGAAGGAAACACAAAGTGACACGGCACAAAAACTAAACATCATCTCCCCCTACAGGATGATTAATGTCACTTTAAAAGACTACTCTCAGATTAATGGGAGATTTCTCAAATTCTGTGCATCAATCAGATCAGTTAAAAACATCAGTATAAAAGCTGAATCAAATTCTCACCCAGTCCCGTCACGACCATGGCTCCCAGGTCTGCAACGTAGTTTCCCTTCCTGAAAGTGGCCACTCTGCCCCCCACACGGTCCTGCAGGCAAACAGAAAAGGTACAAAAAATAAAATAAAAAAAAATGGAGGAATTGCACTTTCAGCAAAAATGTAGTGGATGCAGATTGCTGAATAACTTGGCTGAAATTTGTTGAGTCATAAATGAATTATTAAAAATAGGAAACAGAGGAAAAAATTAGCAAAATCGTGGCTAAAAAGTCAGAAGAAGCCAAACTGCAACTAAATCAATGAGCAAAACCACAGTTAAAAGCTTAAAAAAGCTTAAATTAGCAAAACTGCAGTTAAAAGTTAGAATTAGCAAAACTGCAGACAAAAGCTAAAATGAGCAAAACCTGCAGCAAAAAAGCCAAAAATTAGCAAAACTGTAGCTTAAAGTTGAAATGTGCTAATTTGTAGTTATAAGCAAAACCACTGGTAAAAGCATAAAATAGCTAAACTGTAACCAAAACTTGAAATGAGCTTCATCATTTTTAAAGCTAAAATTAACAAAATGAGCTGAAATTAGCTAAAAATGTAGCAAAGCTAAAATGAGCTAAATCATAGCTTAAGTCTTAAATTAGTACGTCTGAGATGATTTGTTGTGAATTCAAGCTTATAAATAATCTGAACTGAACAATTTTTTTCATATCTAAATATATAAGTAATATGTAAAAAAAATAAAATAATATAAAAGTTTCAAACACTGTAAGTCGTAGCACAACATTGATAATGGAGTCAAATGCTTACATATGATTGGTTCAAATAGCACTAAGTATGAGGAAGTAAGGTTGGGCGATAAATCAGTTTAATCGATTGTATTTCGAATTTGCCTTTTATAAAGGTTTAATTTTGGGAAAATCTGTATTTTTTCCCCCACCAGTGCACTCTTTGGGGCTTCTGTAGTTCAAAGGTCACCCCACCTGTCCCTCWAGATGTTTGGTACACAACATGACAATATGGCAGCTAGCACAGGATCTACTTCTCAAAAAAGGCACTGTGTCTTCAGTTATCTGGAACTGGTTAGGTTGTGCAACAATCACCTCACTGCAAAATCTGTTTGACGGCTCTTGACACAATAAGGAGTACAACAAATTTGTTCCAACACCTGAAACAGAGGCACTGCGTCATGTGGGGAACAAATCGATTAAAATCAAAAATGGATTTGGGATGAAAAAAATCAACGATTTTTTTTTGAGAGGGGCCATATCGCCCAACCCTCTGTGGAAGTAGTTTCTATAAAGCAGGAGTCACGCATTTATACTTTATGGTAACGACTATCCTGCGTCAACATTTAAAATAAGTTCAGTTCACCTCATTTATTTTGAATTAATACAGATAAATTGATAAATCTCACACTGCTGTCGGTAAAGTGATTTTTTTTGTCACAAAACAACTTCCAGCTGTTTTATAACAAACTGAGACACAAACAGATTTTCCTCTGTTGTTGACCTACCCTGGCTTCCAGGATCGTAACATCCATCCCAAAGCTCTGCAGCTGGCGGGCTGCAGCCAGACCAGACACCCCTCCACCGATCACTATTACCTTCCCTGTTTTCTTTGCTGCAACAACAAACAGAGAGGCCATCACTGAAACAAACTGTGTGAGTGACTTTTAAATACCTTTTTATATGAAAAGACAATATTAGTGCAATTAATGAAGTAGACTTACTGGGTAACGGCTTGACTCTTTTATAAATGCCAAAGTTAATCAGGCCGTGTCTTTCTAAGTAGCTGTGAATCCTGTGAACCAACACAGCATCGCCTACAAACAGAGGGACAGAAGYTTACATTACTGCTCTGTTAAGAAGACTAATGAAAACAGCAGATGGTTAAAGTTTAATTGGACGTCTCACTATTGTAAGGAGCTTCAAGCTGCTGTGCTGTGGCCTCAAACGTTAGTTGAATTTTAGGGTTGTCCAGCCACAGTTGGATCTGATGAGATTATAACGAATTGCAACGGAAAATATGCTTTAAACAGCGATKCTGCGGGTTTCTTTTTAAAARGTTTGGAAATATAAAACATGGTACATACGGTACGGTTCCTGATGTACAGGAAGACCTTCTGAGTCTGCTGAGGACTACTGATGATGTCGGGGAAACAGGCAGCCTCCTGAGACGTCATTCTGTCGTGAGGAAGGCGGCTCTGGAAAGCAGCTCCTTCCAAACCTGTGGGGGAAAAAATGAATCACACATCAATCCTTTGATATCTTAACACTAAATGTATTTATCTTAATCTGAAATTGCAATGTGAATTATAAAACAGAGCTGGTTAAAAGCGGACTTGGACCTGACGGCTCTTCAGGTTCGCTGTCGTTCTCCTCCTCGGGGGGCGGGGGCGGAGGAGGGACGACCTGCTTCCTTTCCTTCTCCGCCTTGGCGTTTCTCTCCTCCTCCGAGTAATATTCGTCCTCCGACAGGTTGGCCAGGCTTTCGTCCATCTCGCGGTACTCCACCTGCAACAGTAGGCACAATAAAAGCACCATTAAAACCACGACTCGCGTCAGGCAGGGCTTGGTTTGGTCACACGCCCTGAAACTAAATACCCACCCCCCAGCACCACACTGAAAAAAAAACATTAACACAAGCTGTTATAATAAAATCCTTCTCTCCTGAAACTTTAGAAACCTAAAATGTTTACTTTTGGTCGCTTCCGCCGACTTGTTCTACGGACTTCAGCTGAGTCTGGGTCCACTCCTCCGGGACCTGGAGGGTGAGGGAAAGAGGCTCCTGCAGGTTCCCCACTAGGGGACAACCTGTCCTTCTTCTTTGTATCCACAGCTCCCGACGCCGAGGCTGACGGACCAGTCTGGGCGTCAGAACTCAGCGCCCTTTCACCTCCTGCTGCTCCAACAGAAGATGAGGAGGAGGACGCAGAGGAGCCGGCATCTGATTTCTTGCTAGAGAGCATGATGGAGGACGTTGGAGGCCTCTCCTGACGAAACGGTGACCAGGATTCAGATTAGGAAAATTTACACACAAACATTAGAAAAGTACATATTTTTGAGTGAATGACTGAATTTGAATGTCTAAAATAATTATAACTGAAAGAAATATTACAATTACTTAAATGTAAAAGTGATAAAATGGGTTGTGAGTGTAGGAAACAAACAAAACATGTTTTACCTGTCATACGAAACGTAGCAACAAATGTGTAATAATGATGATTTGCAACATTAAACACAATAAATAAAATTCATACCTAACTTCTACAGGCATTTCACCGTCACGGACAATTATTATTTTTAGATTGCAATTGTTTACATTTAACTATAATCAATTTCATTGATTCTCAGTGAGTCATAACTCACAGGCATTATAAAAATCTTAATAAAACAAACAAAAAAAAAGCACAGGTATTATATCAGCAACCTTTTATTTGCTACACTTAGTGCAACAAATGTTACTGGTTGTATTTTTTTAAAAACATCTATTAACACATAATGGATTTAGTTTAGAGAAATACAGAACAGCGCAAACTAGGTTTAGGCACAACAAAACAAAAAAATACATTTTTGTCAAATCTAAAACAAAAGCATTCCATTAATTAAAAAAAAATCAACATTATAAACAAATAAATGGACAATTTAGAGGTTTTGTGTTGAAACCCTCAATTTAAAACAATTGTAAAAGCCAAATTTATTGCAATAATTCCTTAACAGTCCATCCTTCCTCACTTGCAGTTTGAAGCAGTGTGAACCTTTGGTTTACAACCACCATACATTATCTACATCAACTAAACCACATCTGATCACTGAGAGCAACAATGTTAACTGAGTATGAGTGTGATGGTTTTATGGAATGAGGGCTCCAAGGTACAGTAACCTTGTCTTATTTTACCCATTTCTCCGTACACCTGGTTATATCCATTCAAACACTAAGAAACGAAGACAAACCAGAGACATTATGGTTACAAACACGAACTGAGCAAATGTGTTGACCTTTTTATGTGCATTATGAAATCCAGCTAACACGGTAATATTCAAAAGAGAGTTCTTGTAAAAGCTAAAACATAAAATAACTACATGTTTTACAGATGTTGAATTAAAGTAACCTCGATTAGTGAAGCCTTACAGTCAATTACATGCTAAGCTAGCAGCGAATCCATCATTGATTTGTTCTTAAAATTAACCTTCATATTCCACGTAGGAAACCGATTCCATGTACTCGTCACTTCAGTGTCATACACATTATATTATCGTAGTAAGGTTTCTTTTATTTTAAATGCTTTTCTTTCTATTGATCATTACAGACCATGCCGTGTTAGCTTAAGCTAACAATGGGATGTGGCTAGCACGGGAACAGGTGCGCCGGTTTTGCAGACAAAATTGGTTTATAAAAATGGATTCATTCCGAAATAAAGGAAACATTTTCTTGCAAATGAAAGAATAGCTACCATAGAAAAAGGGGAACAACACTAAAAAATAACTTATCATACCTCTCAAACCCCCGAAGATGTCAAAACAAAGACGATACTGCTGCAAGGTTGATCTCAAAGAGCTCCACTGTGATTGGCGGATGAAACCGTCGCGCAATAAGATTCAATGATACGATTGGTTGAAACAACAGTCAATCCTAAACCTCCGCGACTGGTGTTTTGTCGAAAAAAGTACTCTTCGCGGATAGTATTTCAGATTTAAAATGACTTGTTTTCTCCAATAAGGTCAATAAAATAAAGCGACCTACTCACYTTTGCTTATTAGTATCCTTTAGAACCAGTAGAGTAGTGTTTAATACGATTATAATTATAATTTGGGCCTCTTTTTTTTTTTTCTTTCAGGCGAGGCTGTCCGGCATTTTTATTCAGAGGGATAAAAGCTCATCAAATTTAAAATAGCTGTGCAGGAGTAGGCTTTTAAAAAGTGCTAAAATTGGAAAACACGCATCCTCTTYCAACGTTTGACTATCACTTTATTTATATGTGAATAAATCTAGCTTTYAAAACCTCTTCCGCGACAAGGGATGCTTAGGCGGGGTGTGCTATTTTGGGCACAACACCTCATTTATTTCAGTGGCTGCCTGCCAAGAACATAATTATGTAACAACGCTTTAAAGAAAATATTTGTAATTTATATAAAATATAGAATTTTAAAACAGTTGTGTAGTCTTTAAGACTGCTGTTCGGTATTCATAGTTTTCTGTTTGTACTTTATTTACTATGAATCGAAATCTGAGGCGGTCTGAAGTTGACGTCATCATGCAGAGGTGGGGCAGACAGGTAAAGGTGAGCTGAGCTGCTACGTCGCGCCTTACTGAGGAAAGAAGGAACGTCGGCGGTGATTTGTTTACTTTTTTCTCGTCTTAAGACAAAAACTGCACGTAAGTAACCAAATATATGTGTCTTTCAATTGAATTTGTTTTTAAACAAGACAAACATTTGATAAAAAGTCAGTTCTGTGGCCATTGTAATGCTCATATCTTATCTAAGGTGTTTGTTACGTATATTACCAGTTTTTTGTGTAAAAATATAAAACATTTTATGGGTAAACTGTGTTAAATCTGGTGGCAACTGCAAAATCTATATTTAAAAAGTAAAAGGATGGCAGCAAATACAAAAAAAAATCAGGAACAGTGAAAAGTAAAGCTCATTTGGCTTCATTAAGCAGGCTTTTGCATGTTTTACATCGACAGTGATTGTGTTACAAAGTTGAATTAAGTTGAGGTATAGACTGTAAGCATTATTTTTGAGCTAATAAGAAATGAATCCAACAGAAGCTGTAAGGCCATGGTGAGGATAAAGAAAGAGTCACCAGACCGGCCTGACAACACCGCCTTCACTCAGCAGAGGCTTCCAGCATGGCAGCCCATTCTGTCCGCAGGCATCGTCATCCCAGGCTTTGTCCTCATCGGGCTCGCTTTCATCGGCGTCGGAGTCGGTCTGTTTATCACTTCACGGGACATTCAGGTGTTGGAGGTAAGGTCGTGACATTCGAAGCAAACATTAGTCTGGGGATGATGTATGAAAGTGAAAATCTTTGTGAGCTGACATGTTTCTGGGGTTCCTCACGTAGATTGATTACACCGGGACGGACCAAACCTCGGACTGCAACAAGTGCACAAACCCAAACACCAAGAACTGCGTGTGCACCCTGAGCTTCAACATCGACACTCTGTTTAAGGTGACAACAGAGCTTTACACCAGAACTCAAACATAAACAGTTTTCTACAGCTCACCAAATTCAACTCTGCGCGTATTAATCTCATTGTTTGGAACCACAGGGGCCTGTTTTCTTTTATTACGGTTTGACCAACTACTTCCAGAACCACAGGAGGTACGGCGTGTCCAGAGATTACAAACAGCTCTATGGAGACCTGGCTAATTTTAAAGTAAGATAACAAATATGCACAACACTCCTCCATTATAATCCACCACTGTCGCCAAAGACAGAGAACATCTTTATTAGTATCTTTCTAAGTGTTGGCAAAGTTCATATCTTTTCATTGGCCCCGTTTTTACCACTCTCCCTGCATGTTTTAAATAGAAACCATTCTAGATATCAAATAAAAAAAACAAACTATCATCCTTGTCTTTTTAAGGATCCCAGCACAGACTGTGCACCCTACAGGCTGGACAGCAGAAACAATCCCATCGTTCCATGTGGATCAGTAGCAAACAGCTTGTTTAACGGTATGTACAACATATAAATGACCTGTTCGGGTGGTTATATAGTTTATTTGCCACATCAGGGATGTGTTCACTGTTCCTGCTTTCGTTTTGCTTCTTAAAGACACCTTCAAGCTGTATCAGATTGTCAACGGGCAAAGAAATGTGGTGCCTTTTGATGGGAAGGGGATCGCTTGGTGGACAGACTACAATGTCAAGTTTAAGAATCCCGACGTCACGCCTCTGCAGAATGCCTTCAACGGTTGGGACTTTAGTCTAATTCACCAGAATGAGCTGCATTTCTGAATATTCCTATTTTGGAGGGATTAAAGAAAGAGGTGCTCTCCCTTTCAGGTACCGTGAAACCTTTATTTTGGACCAAGGCCGTGTACGAGCTGGATTTTTCAGACCCGTCCAACAACGGCTTCATCAACCAAGACTTCCTGGTGTGGATGAGGAGAGCAGCTCTGCCAAATTTCAGGAAACTTTATCGACGGATCGCAGAGGAGAATTATACAAATGGTCTACCYGCTGGAAACTACAGCCTTGAAATTTCCTACAGTATCCTTTTAAACCTGTTGTACAGATTTATCAAGAATTTTAAAGCAAAGAAAGTAAGTAGGCCTATTTGTTTCGCAGCTTTTTTATTTATTTGATGCACAAAAAAATACAATCTACAGCTAAATTAGTCTAACATGTTAAGTTTTAGCACGGATCTGCTGCGTATTTTCAAATGTTCTGTTTAAAAAAATGTTTTCAGAGAGAGAAAACTGGGAAGTGAGGTGTCATGTTACACAAACAGCAGTGTAGCCTCAGCTTGTTGGACTGGTTAGGTGTGGTTCTGCGTTTAAATAGTTTGAATGAATGCAGTGACTCAGGAGATCCCAAAGAACACCATTACAAGCAAATCTTCTGACATAAGTAAACCAGCTAGGCAAATAATGATCACCCTCATCTCGAAAACAAACTAGGTAAAGGACCTTATTGCTGCTTCACAAGGCGTTTTTGTTCTAAAGGGGCAATATTATGTGTTTCTCAGGCATACATTTAAATACTATACCATAATAAAGTATCTATGTCACCTTTAGTTGTTATTAAAATGCTGTTTTTTATGTTTAAATAGAAAATAAACTTATCTTCTCATCCGTCCTCTTCTAAATGCCTTGAAATAGGTCTCTGTCTCTTTAAGAACCACCTTCTGCTTCTGTCTCGCACATTTCGGGGGCGTGCGCCATGATGCAGTTTAATTGGCATCTGAAAATACATTTCCTCAAAGTTATTTTTAATCTGAAAAGAGCTTCACTGAGCGAGAACTAATGTTGAGAGCTCAGCAGACAGTTTAAGTTTCACTTTCACCCGAGAGCCTGCAGGAGTCGTGAGCGGAAGGGGAAGGGGGGCGCTGCCATGAAGAAGTTCGGCTTAAAGACTCGTCCCAGGGGCGTTTCTGGTCCCAAAAGATGTTTCTGGTCCCCACCTGTCGTTTTGCTCCTCAGCATGGCTTCCTAAAAACGCTGCAGGATTTCTCAAACGTGCATGAATGAGTCAAAGCAAGGCTTTGGGCATGTTTTTATGAGAGTATAACATTATAACATGATATAAAACTCAAAAAAGTTGATTTTTACATGATATTGCACCTTTAACTACAAAAATGTATTATTGCTCGTTGGCAAAGGTGATTATGTTTTGTCTGTGGAGTTAGCAAAATACAGTATCTCATGAACCACTGGACAGACATTAAAGAAACTTTTGTAGTCTTTGTATGTCTACAACTGGTTGTCTCCCGCTGGCCAAGGTTTGATCTGAACAGTTASAACATAGAGCTGAATATCACTGAGTAGGTCCAGCCTATCCTGTCCACTGTTAGCATCCGTGACTACGTGGAGGAGCAGAAACGGCGACCAAACAGGGCATCGGCTCACAGTTGTCATTTGATTAACAGCAAGCCCAGCTGGATCTGTTTCCCAAATTATCTGTAATATTTTACTAAAAATTAACAATTATGTTAATTGTATTCAATGTTCATGTAAAACAGCAGATATATACCAGAAAAATATATGATTTATAAGTAACAATGATATAGTCCATACCTGAAGTCAGTAACTTAGACTTTTTAACTAGTTGAAAAATGAAGACTTCAATGAGTAATAAAATAAATTTATTTCTTACTGTCATAAATATTAATAATAAATATTTACCAGTCAACATTTAGAAAATGTTCTCTGTATACCTGGTTGTAGGATGAAACGTGTGCATACTGCTAACCATCTTCTCAGCAGGTTATGTTAGTCTAATAAAAACCTAAAACTAATTAATATGTATTATTTTACACTGTGTAAATATCTATGGTAAATCAGAGGACTAATCAACCTAATATTTAATAGTTTGTGTTAAATAGTAGCATGATTCAGCAGAGTTCTACGTTTTGTAATTAAATACATGCCACACAAGCTGAAGGCTGAGTGTGCGCCCTTGCCGGCAGTGGAGGTGCGTGGAAGTACTCTTTATAACTTGTGAAAATGTTGTAAGGAGGAGAGCAATCGCTTGACAAACCATTTGAATGGTGCGGCGCGAGCAGCCTTTGCGGAWTACAAAATTTTGGAGGTGCCCGACCACGCACCAGGACACCGCGCAGGGGCGGGGATGGCATGATTGCGTCACTTTTTGGCGCACACGCCTGGCGCAACGCGTCAWCTATAAACCTAGCTTATTATCTGCTGACCAGCTCCATAATTAGCAGTGATTACATCAGATTTATAAGCTTATTTTAATTTTTAGACTGTTAAATTATTAGCTTATGTTCTGGTCAGATCACATCCACATTGAGGTAAATAAGACAGTCTGCTTACTTGTGAAAGGAGACACATTTCTGTTGGTACGTCCATAACACACAGCTTTCTGGCATTATTTAAAGCATTCAATAGATTATTTACACTCTAAAATAATTATATATTTGTTAATAATAATAGTTTTTATGATTTCTACATCGTCGGTCCTTTTTTTTTACCAGCATGTGCAGTAATGGTAAATCCAGATTCTACCTGTTCAGTTTCTACAGTAGATCACGTGGTTTCTGCACACTCCAGCTGTTCTTTAAACCTCCATGGGCTACAACTGCATCATTTCTCAACATATTTTGTTATTATGTCTGAAAGTTCTTGTAATTGGTTATATGTGAATGCATTTTAGTTCCATACAAGTTCAAAAAGGAACGATATTGGGCAAAATGTAATTTTTTTTTCCTTTTTAATGATGAATAATTAAGCTAAAAATAGTAATTTGTATATAAATACTTTTCACATGCAGTGTTTCATGACATCAGTGCTGTCCTTCAGATTTATGTTTTGTTTAGTTCTCTGTTTGCATGTTGTGTATTTGGTGCAGAGCCTTAACGCTTGCTCCTCAGACTATCCTGTTCTGAGTTTTAACGGGAGGAAGAAGGTGGTGTTCAGCAACGTATCCTGGATGGGTGGGAAGAACGATTTCCTGGGCATCGCCTACCTGGTGATTGGGTCTCTGTGTGTCGTCATGTCTGTGGTCATGCTCATCGTCTACGCCAAGTTCAAGTTCCCAGAAGACGACTGAGCGTCTGTTCACAGACTGATGTTACGGAACAGAGGTTTATTAACTGAATTTTATTTTGTATCTCATTCAATGAGCCAATTCGGGTTTAGATTTTTATAGAAATGAAACAAATCCACTCAGGAACTGAAGTCTTACTGTTATGAACAAGTTAGGGTTATATTTTATTGTGCTAAACTTCATGCTGGAGCTTTTAATTTGGCTGCAAAGCTACTGACTTTTCTCAAATTAGGACATTATTTTTAATTCAGGCACAAGTATAATGCCTTGTCTTCAAGTATATTTTTAAATGAGGCTTTTGAGTGCAAAAATGTTACTAGTGAGACTGTTTGACTTGTTTGTATATCTTAAAGTTTTGCTTTTATCTTTAACCKGTGATCTGCTTCCTCATGTTAGGTCAATCATGTTAAAGTCATATTTTACATGTAAAGCCATTTAATGCTCTCCAAACAGTTACACTTCARACGTGGCTTCCAAATAAGTGCTGTAAAAAATTGTAAATATTTTTTAACTCAGGGATATGGTGTAAATGCTATTTGTCTTGTTTTCTCTTTATTTGAAGGCCTTTTTTAAAACTATGAACACTCTTTAAAACACAGTTGACTTAATGCTCCTGATATTTATTGAATAAAACACTTAAACCGTTGCATTGTTCTATATGCAATTTGAACATGTGTAATATTTTGTTCGCATTATTATGAAGTTTTTTTTTCCACCGAGTTAATGACAGCTTAATTTCTTCTGATTTCTGATTTACGCAAACATGATTCGACTCAATTCTAAAAGCTTTTTTTGTCCTTTTTATAAATGTTTAATGTTCAGTTTGTTTGTAAAGTGGACTTAAGGTGAAAATCACTACATTGGAAAATACATCGTGTTCTAGCGTATACTAAAATATYGTTGTTTACACTTTTTTTGCCTTTACAGTACACTCAAAAATAACAAACTAGAAAAAAACATGGTTAATTCAACATTTAAACATTTAATTTTGCTGAAATTATCTTCAAACTAAACTGTAATTATTAACATTTGACAAAACACTGACAAGATGTGGAAAAAACGGCGCTCCTCAAACAATAAATCTGCTTTATCACAGATTTTTTTAAATCACAGGTTTATCTAAATTTTTCTGCATTTAGAATATACGCATAAAAATTTGCTGCATCATTGGAAAACTGCTCTCTTGGACCCTCTAGCGGACGTTTTTGGAACAATAATTGAACGGCATTGTGGGTGTTGTAGTCTTACACCAACAGGGTCTTTTAAGTTACCCATCCGTCAAACTACAAAGACCACAATCCTTTGCGCTGATAAATAGCTACGGTCACGCTCTGATTTGACAGCGGTGCAGACAGCCTGCTACAGTGCTGTCTAGGCGGCGTTGTTTGCTTTCTTCTTTTGTTCACCTTCAGACAACATCGGTCCAGCGTTGGCTTCGTAAAGATGTCCGACGGCGGAGGGACGGAGGAAGGCTCCGGCACCATGGAAGTTTCGGCCGTTCAAACGGTGGCGGATACCTCGGTGTTGCAGAAGCACCTTCGGAAACTGGTGCCGCTGCTCCTGGAAGATGGCGGCGAGGCCCCGGCCTCGCTGGAAACCGCCCTGGAGGAGAAGAGCTCCGTGGAGCAGATGAGGAAGTTTTTGGCCGACCCCCAGGTTCAAACCATCTTGGTCGAAAGAAGTGCTCTCAAGGGTACGTTTTTATAATAATATACAATTCAAATAAATGTGTATAAATGCGAGGAAGTCATTAATTAACTTCCCTTGTTTACACATTCATATGATGACCAGTTTGAGTTCACAGCCAAACGTTTTAAAGTGGACCAGTTRAAAACCCTCCTCACAGAAATTACGTTTAAAACCAGTTTTCGTTGCAGAAAATACGCCATAGTGGGCGAGGCTGGCAACATGCATCAAGCTCAGCTGATACTGTTTTATGACATAATAAAGTATTACTGTATGAGCAAAGTACAGCATTTGTATTTAAATTCTGTTGATTTCTCACATTTGCTGAACAAATAATCAAATGTTCAATTTTAAAAAAATGCTTTGCAATTAAAACAGAATGAATCTTTGTCCTAACTTCAAGTCATGTTTGCCCCTTATAGGGCTTTTATCATGTGAACCAGTTTGTCAATAGACACATTATKCTCAATTTTCTGAGGGCAAATTCATTCTGGATGTGACCAGGTTTAAATTTAGTTCTAAATCTTTACTCCTCTGATAGTTCACATGACCAGGCAAACTCTGAGCCTGCAGGTATTTGATCCCGCTGGGTTCACCTCTCCATCCTGGTTTCCTAGCACCAGAAAATATTCATCATACAATGTGCACTTTTTTTTTTTTGCAAATGTCACTCACAAAACTAAGTGGAGACTGGACTGGGTGCAAATAGGTGAGATGATGACTGTTCAATCAGGAATTGAATTTAGTTTTTCCTCACACAGAGGATGTTGGTGATGAAGGAGAGGAGGAGAAGGAGTCCATTACCTACAACATCAGTATTGACATACATTATGGGATAAAGTCTAACAGGTAAAATATATTTTCAATTCACTTAAAACTGTATTTTTAATCAATAAGCTGGAAAATAAAAAAATATATTTTAATCACAACTGTTTTAAAATTGCTTTTCCTTATTTTAATTTTGTCTGTTGCAGCTTGGCTTTGATCAAGAGGACAGGTGTCATTGATGCAGACAAGCCCATATCAACTCAAGTTCGCGTCCTGACCCTGAGTGAGGATTCTCCCTATGAGACTCTTCACTCCTTCATCAGCAACGCTGTTGCTCCGTTCTTCAAGTCCTACATCCGCGAGTCTGGAAAAGCAGACAGGTAATGTTCTCCTAACGATCGTTTCTGTGGATCTCGAACTCGGCATTTAGAAAATAATAAAAAAATTGGAAAATCATTCACTTGTAAAATATGCCACATCCTGTAGAGACGGGGACAAGATGGCTCCCTCTGTTGAGAAAAAGATTGCGGAGCTGGAGATGGGCCTGCTCCACCTTCAGCAGAACATTGAAATTCCTGAGATCAGCCTGCTCATCCACCCCACCATCACAAACATCGCCAAGCAGTGCAACGAGCGCGGGGAGAAGCCCAAGGTCACCGACTTTGGCGACAAAGTTGAAGACCCATCTTTTCTGAACCAGCTGCAATCTGGAGTGAACCGCTGGATCAGGGAGATCCAAAAAGTGAGGCGTTTGCTTATTTTTGTCTGTGACATAAGAAAAAAAACCCAGTACTACAATGAAAGTAAAGACAAATGCCTAGTTTCTTACAGATCAACTGTTTAATGTTTAAAACTCTACCAGGTGACAAAGCTCGACCGTGACCCAGCCTCAGGCACGGCCTTGCAGGAGATCAGTTTCTGGCTGAATCTGGAAAGAGCCCTCAACAGAATCCAGGAGAAGAGGGAAAGCCCCGAGGTTCTGCTGACTCTGGACATCCTCAAACATGGCAAACGCTTCCACGCTACCGTCAGCTTCGACACAGACACCGGTGCGTGACGAGCAGTTAAAACATTTTCGTTACTGTCGTTAGTTTAAGTTTGATTCGTTTTATGTGAATTCTTTACTTTTCCTCACAGGTCTGAAGCAGGCTGTGGAAACCGTCAACGACTACAACCCTCTGATGAAAGACTTCCCTCTCAATGATCTGCTCTCTGCCTCGGAGCTTGATAAGATCCGTCAGGCCCTGATTGCCATTTTTACTCACTTGAAAAAAATAAGGAATACCAAGTATCCCATCCAGAGAGCGCTGCGTCTGGTGGAGGCCATCTCCAGGGACTTGAGCTCCCAGCTTCTCAAGGTGCTGGGMACCAGGAAGCTCATGCATGTTGCTTATGAAGAATTTGAAAAGGTTTGTCAGGGTGCTTTTCTTTTTCTTTCTTCTTTCCCCACATCCAAAAAAAACCTAGAGTTTTCATTATTTATCAACAAACAGTGTTGTGTAAAGCAGTGGTTCCCAAACTTTTTATCTTCTGACCCACAAAATATCCATGGCAAAAACTTGCGACCCCAAATGTTACTGGTCTGAGTACACGAACTRTGTTKATAARCCTAAAAACACAGGCTTTTTGACAATCTAAACAGCTTGTACACAAATATAAATACTTATACTTACTTTATGTTTTTGTAATAATTATAYGGAAAAACATTACATCAGCAATTATTTTATTACCCTTTAAATTGATTTCTGGAGATTATCCAAGGTGCTTCATGACCCATTATTGGGTCCCAAGCCCAACTTTGGGAACCAAAGTGCASTGGTTCCCAAACTTTTCAGCTTTTGACCCACAAAATAACAGTAGCAGAGACCTGTGACCCCAACTGTTTTTGGATGATAAACATTTGTATCAGGTCAACAAAACATGGGCATAGTAACAATAATTATTATTCTACATTTATCCATTTTAAATACACTGACCTCACTCCTTTGTAACAACTAAGGCAAAAATGTAATTAATTCAGAAAATCTTTTCAGGACCCCAACTTGATGTTTCGGGACCCCACTTTGCGTCCTGACCCCAGCTTTGGGAAACACTGGTATAAAGTACCACAAAGTGATACTTGAGTAAAAGTACAATTGTCTTACCGAAAAATTACTTGGGTAAAAGTTAAAGTCTCCTTTAGGAATAGTACTTGAGTAAAAGTCTTAAAGTATCTATTTTTTGTACTTAAGTATTAAAAGTAAAAGTATTGATTTAAAATGAGCAGTTAGATTTTCCATGATGACATTTATTAAGAGGTGACCTCCCTCAAAAAATGCAGAAATGACTATATTGTATTAAAATAATTAATTTATGTTAAATTTAGGATGCACTAGTCTAGCTGTTTCAGTTTATATACAGTACATATATCAAGGCTGCTCAAACCTTTTCCCCAAAATGAAAATCTATCTGAGGGCTGCGGCCAAATGCAATAATATAATTCTTGAAATACAAATACTTCTTAAGTACAGTCCTTTTATTTTAATGATTATGTCCTGCTGGAGTGTGACATCGTTTGTGTACTAAGTAGTACGCTATCAGAATTTTATATATTTATACTTCTCATTCAACCACAATTAAGTTCACTCTATCCAGAAGGCACAATTTATATGGACAGTATTATTTTTTACATTAACAAGCAAAAATGAAGTAAAAGTAACGACTTTCTACTTCTTGTCTTTTTTTAAAAATGTAAAGAGTAGAGAATACAGATAACTWTGAAAATGTAAGAAGTAGAAGTAAAACGTAGGCTGAAAAATAATTACTCAAAGTACAGATACCCAAAAAATTCTACTTAAGTACAGTTAAGGAGTATTTGTACTTAGTCACTTTACAACTCTGTCAACYAATCTTGTGTTTGCAGGTGATGGTGGCTTGCTTCGAGGTGTTCCAGACCTGGGAGGATGAGTATGAAAAGCTGCAGGTGCTTCTGAGGGACATTGTGAAGAGGAAGAGGGAGGAGAACCTGAAGATGGTGTGGCGCCTGAGCCCCGCTCACAGGAAGCTCCAGTCCAGGCTGGACCACATGAGGCGCTTCAGAAGGCAACARGAGCAGCTGAGGGCCGTCATCGTTCGTGTGCTGAGGCCCCAGGTGAATTAATCTGTAATAATTCCAGTGGAACCGATTTGATGTAGCTTCTTCCTATTTRAATAAACTAATGAACTCTTTGTCCTCCA